GGTTTGCACAGTTCTCTTGGAGGAAAAGCAGGGCTGAGTTGAAATCCACTGGGGCTTTGGAGCTGTGGTCTGATCGTCTGAGCGTCGCAGTCCCCTTGGTTTAGGGTGTAAATGGTATAAAATGCTCATTGCCATTTCTCTCTTGCACACTACGCTGGGGTGTCTTCCGTGTCGCAACACAGTGATTGTGATTTGGCTTTTTTGAGGGTTCAGTCTTTTCCTACCCGGATTTTGCCAACAAAGACTAGAATTGCGTATGAAAGGGGCAGTATTTACCATTAAAAAAACGGTGTCTTCCTCCCTCTGCTCCGCGAAGCAGCTTGCAGGATAACCTCAGAAGCTGCTACCATTTGCCAGTAGGTCTTACCCTGAAGTTGAATCCTGTGCAAAGGAGCGAGGTGGGTGTAGGTACAGTAACCTGTCTGGAATTAGATACTAGTGCGTGCGTGTGTGTGTGTGTGTGTGTGTGTGTATGGATTTTATGGGTATGTGGATTTTATTCATCTCTAGGTCAAGGTGGATGCTAACCTCTATGAGGGATAAAATACGAAAGTGCGACTGGCTTGTTTCCTTACTCATATATACCATAGCTTTATGGAAGTAGTACAATCAGAACACGATGTTTAATCTTGGATTTTCTTGAGCACCGGATGCTTTTATTGAAAGTCTGGGACCACGACTTGTTCATATTTATGAATGATATGTAAAAGTGCAATAAATAGGTCTAGCAGCTTAGAACTGACATTGTGTGTGAGATTTCTTTGGCAGGTTAGGTAAGAGAAGAGTTTAATACTCCAGAGGAGCATGATTTTAAAAATTAAGCTTTGAATTTTCAATAGAAAGTACAGTTAAGCAGCCCATAGTCCAGAGTCATTGATCAAAGGGTTTTTTTTTGAGTTTTTAATAATGAAAAGAAATAATATTTTACAAGAAAAAAGTACTGCTTATAGTGGAGTAAAAAATAATAAAAATACCACATTTGGACACTCATAAATTCTCATATAGGTTCTTGCACATTAAACATGCTAGCGAGAGTACATACATGTGCTTGTGCTTTTTCGTCATCCTCAGTTATGAAATGCTATAGAGTTTGTTGGTTTTTCGAAATGCCACGTTTATGGACTGGATTAGGTTTTCTCAAAATTGAGGAGTACATTTTCAGAGGTTGGAAGCTTTTGTAGGTATTAAAGGAAAAAATGTCTATTTCTCAGAGATGACCTCTCATTAAAGTCAATCTGCACCCCGTCTAAGAGGCAGAGTGTCGCAGGCGTGGAAACCACGGATTCACTGAATTTAATCAAACCTATGGGCAAAACAAGTCACACCACGGGTTCCATAGTCCCGCTTTCTGTTTGCGTCCGAAAGTAAAATATGTAAAGGTGATTTTCCCAGAGAGAAGACCTAGGGCAGATTTTTTATTCAGAAAGCCCTTAGCAGAGTTCTATGAAAAGGCTGTGTGTCATGAAATGAAGCAGGAAGTTGGGAATCTGGGCTGTGTGAATGAGAACAGGGCTTACCCTTCTATACTACAGGCTGAATTCACTGGTTAATGCCCACACCCTGCTTTGTTTGGGGATGTGTAGACCATCCGCATTACTCTTTTGTGCGTATTTCACACAAGAGTAAGAAAATGAAACCTTGGCTAATAGGCATGTAGAGTCAAGAGGGCCCCCTGCTATCTTTCTGAAACCCGCTAAAAGGTGCCTATTTTCTGCACAGCACAAAACATTTCCTTAATTGTTAAATTCCAGCTTGAAGCAGCACATTAGTGAGTAACAGCAGATCAGTAACTATGACGGTAAACTATTTGGAAAAAAAGATGAATCTGTTCCTACACAGTAAAATGAGACTATTCCCACTTCTAGTGGCCATATGAAATAGCGAAAGACATAATGCTTTCTGCTCAGAGTATTCGGTGGCTTTAAAGGGAGACATCCAACACTGAAATTTTCATTGTATAATTTTTTTGTTCCTGCCATATGGCCAATGGCTGAATGGAAACATGACTCCTATACTTCAGGGCGTCCCTGGGCCTCATCTGGTGGGCATGTCGTGAATGTGTTCAGTTGACTGACAGTTTTAGCCTGCTTCAGAAGACAGCCCAACTTTAAAGTCTGAAAGCTGTATAGGCAAAGCACAAAGCCTGTTCACAAAGGACTACTGTGGGTAGAAGAAAAGAATGCCTAGGAGTGAAAGGGCCAAGCTTCAGAGTCAGGCAGAGCTGCCTGTGAGCCCTACCATGGCTCTCTACTCCTTGACCGGGTACCTTAACTTAGGAACCTTAGCTTCTTCATGGCAAAGAAAGACCAACAGTGAGTAATCGAGGTGTTTGTATTCTGTTTTGTGTCCCTCTGTTTTCGCTTCAGTGTCTGTATACCAGTGAGTAACTGTCTATAGGTCCTCTGCTGTCTTTTTTTTCTCCCTTGGTGGCATAAGGAAAAGCATAGCATATTCTTGACCTTTGCCACTGCCTCAAAGGTTTAAAGAGACTTTAAAATTGTAATAGAATTCACACAAGATACATTTTCCTGCTTTAGCCATTTTCGAATATACGGTTCACATCATGGTGTGATTAACATTACTGTCTGTCTACAGAACTCTTTGTATCTTACAAACTCAAACCGTGAACCATGCAGGGGTAACTCCCCATTCCCTTCTGCTCCCTGCCCCTGGCAACTACCACTCTACTTCCTCGCTCCAGGAATTTGACTAAACATCTTAAAAACCACAGTCATATAATATGTGTCTATTTATGACTGGCTTAATTCACTTAGCATGTCTTCGAGCTTCATCCATTGTATAGCACGTGTTAGATTTTTCTTCCGTTGTAAGGTGAATCATATTCCATGGTGTGCACGTGTGACACTCGTTTTTTTCTGTGGGCACTTGGGTCACTTCTTGGCTATTGTGAGCAGTGCCACTGTGAACCTGGTGTACACGTATCTGTTAGAGCCGATTCTTTTGGACGCCCCGGAGTAGGATGGTTGAAACGTAGTAATTCTGTTGAACTGTTTGGGGCTCCGTCATCCTGCTGTCCATAGCAGCCGCAGCATTTTAGATTCCCACCAGGAGTGCACAAGGACTCCAGCTTCCCCTTATCCTCTCCGACACTTGCTATTTTCTATTTTCATTTGTTTATTGGATAGTAGCTATCCTGGTGGGTGTGAGGTGATAGCTCATTGTGATTTTGATTGTGTTTCCCTAATAGTTCATGACACTGAGCACCTTTTCATGTGCTGAGTGGCCATTCCTATATCTTTGGAGAACTCTCTATTCAAGTCATTTTGAATCAGACTGTCTTTGAGGACACATTTTCAGATGGTGGGATATCTTAACATAATGTGTTATTAGAGCTTGAGTATATATGTGTATTTCATTTTCTGTATTAGACAGGATTATCCCTGCCCGAATAAAATACTTCTTTCAGAAATGACTTTTTTTTTTTTTTTGAGAGAGAGAAGGAGAGATTTTTGCGATAGGGCACATGCGTTCGTGCTGAGAGACAGGGAGATTGAAAACAAAAAATCACCTCCCAGGGACCAGCAGTTAGCATAATGGCTATGTCGCTGGACTCCCACGTAGTCCACCACGGTTCAAGTCCCAGACCCGGTGGCTTAAACTCACACCAGGCATGTGTGCGAGCATGCCCAAGATCCCGAGAGGAGAATGGAGGAGAAGCGATTGCAGCGTGGCCATCCCCCCTGGGGGGTGGTTTCTTGTTTTCCGTCTCTCTTTCTATATGGTGAGCGCATGCGCCCTATAGCAAAAAACCTCTCCAAAAAAAAGAAAGTAAAAAAGAAAAAAAAGAAAAGAAATCACCTCCCAGAGGGGATGACCATGCCACAGTCCCTTCTCCTCTATTCTCTTCTTGGGATTTGGGGCACTCATGCACATGTACCCGGCATGTGTTTTAAGCTGCCAGATCTGGGACTCGAACTGCAGTCGACTATGTGGGAGTCCAGCGACATAACCATCATGCCATCTGCTGGTCCCCAGAAATGACTTTTAAAATCAAAAAGGAGAAACTAAGAAACTATGCATAGCGCCTGCTTATTGGTGACATCAATGAAATTCAAACGCTTATGGAGGACAGTCCCAGCGGTGATCCTCCTGGGCAAGCTGTGGACCAGGCTGCTACTACTGCTGAGGCCCTGGCAGGCAGTGGCTTCAGTGCTTTTCTGGTCCCCACACATGAGCTAAAGCTCTTCAGGATGTGAAAAACGCCCAGTGTGTATTGGAGTCAAAAAAGAGAGGAGAAACTTAAGTGCTGAATTGCTCTCAAACCCTCTATGGTGGAGCATGAACTTGTGTAGCGAGGGGCCGTGGTAGCTAAACCATCCAACAGGCTTCCAAGACAAGTTCCTACTGACGAAATGTGATTCCAATCTGAATTTCACTTTTAAAAATAAAAAAATCCTTTTGTTTGATTTTCCACTACAGATTTCACTCCTAATTCTGAAACCAGTGAAGCTGGGTATGGATGGGGCCCTGGAGAGCTGGCAGAAAGATAGAAAGAGCGCTATTACGTAGCAGCAGTATCTGCGCTTCCCGCGTGGGCGCAAACATGGGCTTTCCATGGTTTACAGAGCTCCTCAGTAATCATATGTTAAGTTTCGATAGTGTACTCTTGTGTATGCGTTGTGGTGCGGGGGAAGGCTGTAGACAGTGACCCTGGCTTTATTTCACTTGCTACTCACTCTTCAGTTACTGGGAGAGCCTGAGTGCCT